AACTCACTGAATATGTTTTCCGTCGATGACGGCCAAAGCTCGGTTTCTGATACAGTCTTTTAAAGTGGCAAGGCTCTTGTTAATTTCAACACTCTCTTGCACACGTTCCTTGTTGTGCCAGCGACTGTCAGCGGAGCTCTCAGAACCGGCAAGGTCTAAAAGATACATAAGCCCGTCTTCTGCTTCCGGGACTTTAAGGTTGCTGACACGGATGCGGAGAATAGCGTGGGAACGAGACCTTTAAACATTTAGATATGATACTGACTGTAAAAATTACGATGTTGCATTTTTGTCTGTTCCTTCAGTTCTTCGTTGAGCAGCGCCATGCTCAATCAAAGCCAGCAACTCCTCGGATTTCGTGACAAGAACCTCTTTCGCACCTTTAACCTACGTGTATTAGTACTATTCATCTAGTATTCTACGTACTTGAATGCGGCCGAATACATCTTCTAAAATAGAGACACTTCCAGGTGTTGTGGAAGCCAAAAGATCTATTATGTAAGATAAATCAAATACTCTATATACCGCCGGCCTGGTTTCCAATGAGCTCAAAGAACGAGGCTCTAATCTCAAAAATTGACTGAGATTCAGCATTATCCTTACTCGAACTTTGACCAAAGGTCTTGGTCATCTCAAAGAGATCCTTGGCCATAAGCTTTTCGAGGGCTGCACATGTGAGAAAAAAGGACATGGCGTCTCTTACCTGTCATAGTGTATGTCTTTCCACTTCCCGTCTGTCCGTATGCGAATAAAGACCCAACCCCTTTGCTTTTAGTTATGATCAGTGTGAAAACAATACCTCCGCCAAGGACCAGAGGAATCAAACTCTTCGCAGTAGCTTGGTACACTTCTTCATTACTTGCCATATCACTAAATGCAGCGTCGACGCTGTAGTCCTTGGTCTTTACGACAGGAACACCTTGAATGTTCTGCTCCATAGCATGAACATAAATCGTTTGGCCCAAATGGTTTGTGGTCACAGCGCTATACAGCCCCCGGGCTCTCTCTTGCTCAAGAACAGGCCTTGCCCTTCCATTTCATCAGTTATTTATCCTGGGAGATAGACATCTTTACCTGACGCAGACCACAATATCTTTTTCATGGTGTGCATCTGCTTTGTTTAGCTGGGGTAGGGCTTCCTGACTTTTATCTATTTCTGCCTTATGCTTCAAGAGAGCTTTATCAAAAACCGATCTGTTCTGAAGTATCTTGATCTCCGCCGGCATCAACTTCTGGGTCTGAGCTGATGACAGTACCGAGGACGTTGATGACCGTGGACTAGCAAGCATCGGACAAATTGAACTGAGTGATTGGAGGGTGGTCACACATTGCAGTAGTGCACCTGTTTTTGAAGGTATGAGCGGAGATGGCGAATACTCAATCCGGCCAAACTTCAAGCAAAAGTAAGGCGTCTCGGGGTCCTTCTTTCTGTCTGGATGCTGCGTTTTGGGGCCATCTAATGTCTTTCTGTAAGATTTCGGCCATCAGTGGTGTCAAAGATGATCAATCAGCTTTTGAAGGAACGACTTACGGGAGTCACATATCAGGTCGATACATGCTCCCAACTATCCAAGGAATTGGCCGATGAGATCAAGGCTAAGCTCAAAGGTTTAACTGTCGGGAAATATTATTTAACATTCGCAGCCATGGACTTACCACGATATAAGTTTGTTGCACATGTAATGATTGGAGAGATGCGAGGGGAAGGTGTCCGGTAATATGTTTTTATGTATACATTACTTAATGCATCCTTCAAGAGTTGGCTGTAAATGTCTTTGGGATGCTGATTCCGACAACATGGCTCAAGATGTCTTTGTTAACGTAGGTGTTAATCACCGCTTTTGCTGTCTAATCCCGAGGGTTTATTTGGGGTTTACAGGATTCACTTTTTTGCGTTGCAGCTGGTGAGCCGAGAGCAAAGTCACTTTCTTCGGTTCTAATTCGTTTGGTAGCCTTTGGTGTTTATCACTACTAGATATATCTTCCTTTTTTTGCCTATTATGACTTCGATTTGGTATTATAGTATCGCTCAACGCCTTTACCTATCCAGCTAATCAGGGCTGTGACGGTCATAAAATCACATTCACCTTCACGATATCAATACAGCAAATTCTATTTATTAGCCATGCCAATTTGAGTTCTATTTTCTTCGCTGAATATTTAGTCTATCTATCTGCATTACTACTATTAGGTTCGTTCGTTTTCACTGCGCTAAGCTTTTTTGAGCCTGTCTGTTGCAGCCCGTAGCCCTCCACTTCTCCTGTAGTCATGGATGCAGCTTGACTGGCATCAAGTTCTTTCCGTTCCTAACATTCATTCGTTCAAGGGAACAGGCCTTTGTCTTTTTTCACGTTCTCATCTAGAAACGGATGTACTTAAAAGCAAGAAGTACGGATCTTTTTCGGGTTTTGCCTGCCAAATGCACCTTTAGATTCAAAGGTAACTGAATCAACCTCTATTTCGCGGTAGTATTGCAGAAATCAGCTATCATGCATTCTGGCATTTTCGGACAAGTTTATATTATTTTATTCAGGATCCATAAATACTTGCCATGGAGGTCCTTCTCAGAAGAGTGTCAGTAAGTTGGGCTCTATCCCCACACAAAAATTTGTGATGGGATTCAGATCCACCTTTCCCTTAGAAATCTCTATGCCATGTCTTAATTGGGATTCCAATAAAACACGCTCACCTTTAGGCGTCGAGAAACGCCCAATATCACTGGTGTCATCGACTCAAATAGGAAGTACCGCGTCGTTGTGGGGCTTGTGAGAGTGTCACCATTAAGAGTGTGTATAAAGCATGAGGAATGGGACAGGAAGAACTCCAAGACCCCCTACTTCCTCCAACATTCAGCGATCTTTCTTTTTTGCAGTGCTTTCCTCTTGGTCCCAAAATACCTCATAGGAATAGCTGGTAATGTTTTTCACCAAAGCCATCGCTGTCGTCCTTGCTGGTGCCTTCTCAGTCTCGGCCCTCCGTGCAAACACCCTTCTCGGAAGGCGCGAGGAGGCTGTTGAAGGGATTCAAAGCTTTGCTTCGACCGACTATCGGTCCACCAGCGCCAATCGCCCTTCCAAAGACTGCGGCTTTCCAGAATGTGGTGAAACCACTAATTGCGCAGATTTCTCAGCCTTCGATGAAGTCGTGGCTGTAAGTGTGGTCTTGTTTTCCTTTCATCTTTTACCTGAGGATAACTATATGGCTGTTCTTAATGTTCTACATCCAGCATCCGGCTCACAGAATTCCCTGAGCGTTACTATAAGAGTGCAAACGGCATCGCTTCTACTGTCTGGGTATTATACTTTGTTTTATATGTCTCTAGTGGAGTCAGAAAACTCTGATTATTATCCACGCGTCTCCGTTTTAGATTCGCGATCAAGCAAATGCCTTGGCACCTGTTAATGGCACCAAGTTGACTGGCAGCTTATTTGATCACAGCTGGAAAGCCCAGCAGTCCGTCATTGTTCGATATGAGGCCACCACACCCTCTGAACTTGAGGGTATTGTCATCGCCGGAACCCACTTTGGTGAGCTCCTGAGCTTTTCTCATATTAATTTCACATTTCCTTTCTGAAGATTCTGTTGGAGCTGGCTCCGGCAAACCTAAGCCAAACAACAACCCTGCTGCGGATGACTGCGCCTCCGGCTCAACCGTTATTTTCGAAATACTTCGCGTCCTGGTGGCGAACGGCTTTGTTCCTGGACGTACGCTGCTGAGGAAGTTGGCCTCCTTGGATCCAACGCGGTGGCTGAGGCATATGCTAAAGCTGGAACGAAAGTCGTCAGCTACCTGAACCTTGACCAATCTGGATGTAAGTAAGCTGGCCCTTATTGTTTTAGCTAGGTATCTTACATATTCTCAAATCAGATGTTAGAGCCGGCACCACACCGATCATGGGGGTTTGTGTTTGGTTTCTCCTTGGATTTTTTCATCATGGCAACTCGTTAATTGTTTTAGAGGTTGTCACAGACTTTACTACGATTGCCTCGACTGCCTTCCTACGCAGCATCGTTACTACCTATACAAAGTATAATTTTGTCAACACCAGATGTGGATATAGGTGCACTGATCATGCTGCGTGGTCTGACCATGGGTTAGTTTGTTTTTTTGTTGGGAATTTCACTTGCAGGCTGCATAAGGAATTAACCATTTTTCGCGAATAATTTATGTTGACCGCCGACCTATCTCTTTACAAAATATAGATATGAAGCCGGCTTTGCATTTGAGTCTGATATGAGAAATGGTATGAGTAAATTGTTATGTTGTTTTTCTTTTCCTTTTGGTTTGGGATACATACTTACAAGTTGGATTTTGTGGTTAAACACAGCTTTTCCATACAGTGACCGTGTTAACCGTGACGGAAGAGTCCTTGACACCGTTGACAAACTTAACTTTGATCATATTACGGAATTTATCAAATCCACTCTTGGTTATGTAGTGGAGCTTTCCCTTACTGGAACCACTCAGACTCCCGCTGGCCTTGCCAGGCGTCGTGGATTGGTAGGATATTTACCGTCCATTTTTTTACTACTCCTCAATTTTACTGTCTTCTGATGTTTTTACCTCCAGGAGTGGCGTCAGGTTTGGGCTTAAATATTCTGCGTCAGCTAAGCGTGAGAAAAAATAGTGGCCTCATTGTGGTTAATGTTGTTTTGGGTGGAAAGATATATATCCGATAGGATTTTAGTTATTATTGCTCACCATTCCATAACAAACCACCAAACACATGTTTGCGGATTTCGATAGTAATCTACCAAATATATGTTTACAAAACCCTTCTGACGCATTCCATAATCGACAGAGTTCAAAGTAGTTGATATTAAAACAACTTTAAAATGGTCACAGACTCCAGCAGAGTCAGCGGAGCCAGCACCAGTGCAGCCTTTCCTAGATTTTGTTCTTGTTGATAATAATCAGTAGAACCTATCCCTCCCGCAATTCTCTATCATTCGCATCTGTAATAACGTACTTATATTACAAAAATATTAGATTTTCAAGTGGCCCAATGGTCTAGTAGTATGATACCTCTTTCGGGTAGAGGTGGTCCCGGGTTCAATTCCCGGTTGGGCCCTTTTTGCATTTTCTTTTACTTTTAACCGTCCTTCCTTTTTGCTGCCATCTGTTGATGCCATTGTCGCCTCACCTTTCAGCGCCAGTTCTTGTGTGACAGTAATTGTTCTTTTGCAGCCAGCGCAGTGGCCATGCTGGAGTGAGTGACCAATGGCATGATCAAGGTTGTTCTTTGTCGGCCATGTCGCATTATGGTGGTGGAGCGAGGCCGTCACGACGCCAGCAGCATGGGCAGAGCATGCAGTCGCTGCCCCCTGGCTATTACCCTGGATACCCAATGGTCCCCGTTTCACCCCCCTCGCTGGCCCCCTCCGAATCCCACTACATGCCTGGCATCCATCCATCGTATCCCACGGCGCCCCCTGTCCCTGCACATGTAGCATCGTGGATTCAGAGCACTCCGCTACCCATGGCTCTTGCTCAGCAGTCCTCATCCATGTCCGACAATGCGAGCATTATGAGCTATGGGAGCACATCCTCCAAAAGAAAGAGCAAGAAAAAGGAGAGGAAGAATGAGTCTCCTCCCATGATCATTGCACCAGGGAGGTCGGCACGGGCTTCCGCGATGCCCATGCCCATCAATCTCGCCGCGGATGATATGGCAGGCCCAATTAATCCTTCTGAGCTTCTTGATTCGCATGATCCGCAGCCTCTTCATATCCCCGCCACTATTGTTGGGCGAGCAGGTTTGGTGAGGGATAGGGATGGACTAGTGTATGACCCAGAGAATCCAAGGCGGTCTCTGTATACCGGAGAAGATGGACGGGCCTCCAGAATAACTGGAGCGGTATCGGCAAAGCAGGCCAAAGCTATTCGGGAGAGAGCAAGGGAGGAAGAGGAGCTGGAGGAAAGGAGGGCCGTAGAAATGGTCGAGGCCAGGAGAAGAACAATTGTGGATCGTATGGCAAACGATGAAAGTGATGAAGACAACAAGGATAAGAAGGGATCTGACAGCGATGCTGACGATGAGGAAAATAGGATCGTCCATCGGCTTCCAAAGAACTTTGTCAAGGGCGGCATTCGCCATCGCCATCGCCATCGTCATCGGCTCTCTAAAACGGCCGCTAAAGAAGATAGCAACAGTGACAGTGAGCATGATTTTGAGGTGGATGCAACGGTGGAGGCTCAGCAGCAAAGCCTTCTCAAGGTTGGCGGCAAGGTCGCCGCGGCGGTATCTCCCGATTCCATCGCCCAGGCACGACGGGATTTTCTTTTCGTTGGCCCAGGTCGGTCCCGACTTGGTGGGAGACAGGATCGGACCTCTGCTATAGTGATCAGAAGAGACAGTGACGAGGAAGTGGAGGACAACAAGACTCGTCGGAAAAAAGGCGGAGATAACAGCACCGTTGACCCCGCATTGTTTCTCAAACCCGGACGTGCTCGAGAAACACAGGAGGACCCTAAAATCCCGATGCGGTCTGACTTGGATGACGAGAAGCTTCCACACGATTCAGGCAGTAGCGAAGATGATGCCGAAGACATTATGTCTTCGAATGAATTCCTAGAGGAGGAAGATGAAGATGTTGATGAGGATGATGATGTTCCCCTGCACGTACGACTATCAACTGGGCCCGGGAAAGAGGGTCTCATAAATCAAGCCGAAGCGGGCAGATTATTGCAGCATTTACAGAATCTGTCTGTGTCGGAGGAAGCTGGCGCTCAATCCTCCAGTGCTCAGATTTCAGGGGACTCAAGTGACTCAGAAACGAAGGCTGAGGGAGTGCAACCTGAGGACCTTGCTCTTAAAATGGAAGAGATGCGTCGACGATGTAAACAAGCTCGGGAGGACCCCATCGCTGCTATGGCTGCATCTAAATTCATTATCGAAAACGTTCGAAACTTAGATACGGACGCTGCAGCCCAAAAGTATCTCTGCAACCTCGCCGTAAGATCTCTTAAGAAGGTGGGAACTTCCACCCTAATCTCATCAGAGGTCGCCGCGGAGGCGCAGCATTTGCTGGCTAATCTGCATGTAAGCGGAATACCTGGATTCCAGGACAGACATAGGCCAGATTATGGGAAGGCGTTTCAGCTTTATGCTAGTGCTGCGAAGAAAGACCACGCAGACGCCTTGTTTCACGTGGCGCTGTGCTATGAGCAAGGTGCAGGGGCATCCCTTTCCAATCCCAGAGCCCTTCATAACTACAAAAAGTCGGCGAGAAAGTAAGTCTTTCGATGTTTTAGTTGGGGGGCTTTAACCTAATCGTTTGCCTTTTCTTGCTTCAACCAGAAATCATCCTGGAGCCATGTTCCGCCTTGGAATGGCCCTCCTTCGGGGAGAATTAGGCCAAGGTGTAAATGTGCGCGACGGTGTAAAATGGCTCAAGCTGTCTGCAAAATATGCCGACGAAAGATACCCGCACGCCTTATATGAGTTAGCCATGCTTCATGATAATCCTATCGACAGTAATGTTGTATGGACGGATCATGCTTACGTTGTGGAGCTACTCACGAGAGGTGCTGATTTGGATCATGCCCTATGCCAGTATAAACTTGGAGAGGCGTACGAATACGGGCTTTACGACTGTCCAGTGGACCCCAGACAAAGCGTGTATTATTACTCATTGGCCGCCGCAAACGGTCAAACGGAGGTTTGTTTCCGCTGCCTTCATCTACTCTCATCATTTAAATGCTAACCAATGTGATCTCATTCAGGCAATGTTCGAACTTGGCGGTTGGTACCTCACAGGTGCAGACGACCCCGGCACCGGTTACCATCTCTCCCAATCTGACCCTGAGGCTCGTAAATGGGTGTCTTTAGCCGCTGACGCAGGGCTACCGCGTGCCATGTTCGCAATGGGATATTTTGAAGAGCATGGCATTGGTGACCCTGAGGGTGCGGACCCTGATGAATCTTTACGGTGGTATCGACGTGCCGCCGAGGAAGGGGACGAGAAGGCCATGAAAAAGTTGGAGGAGAAAGGCGTGGAGTGGAAGAAGGAGAACGAGAAAAAGACGTTTATGTCTAAATTAGGGGGATCTTCGAATGGTGCAGGTACGAAAGGCCTGCAGCTTGGGAGCTTCGCTCCCCCTAAGGCATCGGGTAGAGGAAGGAGAGCACATTTGGAGGAAGAGTTGGATGGTGGGAATAAATGCCTAGTCATGTAATTAGTTTCATGACACTTGTTGGCCATATCCTGAGATTTCATCTACCACCAGCATTCGGACCTATAAATAAAACAGGGCTGATTTATTCTTTTTATTCTGCTGGTTTCCTTCGTCTCCTTCCCCTATCGAGGTTTCGTTGATTCATGGCAATAGAAGAAAGGCCTAAACTATACGTAGAGCAGGCGAATTCGCTTTGTTTTTAAGTAGCAGATGTGTGTTAAAATGGGACAAGTTACGATTTAAGTTAAATTGTAATCGGCAAATATCTAATATTAAACTAGGGGAGACAAAGTATCACGGGATACGTCAGAATGGCGATGAAGCAAAAGGAAAAAAAACGCGGGAAATTATGAGGAGAGATTGGCAACTCAACGGCGAATACTTTGTTACAGAGAAAAAAAAGACCGAGTAGCTCGAATAATTTTTTTTTAAACCGACCATTCGAAGGTGTAGAGCTCATTCTAATCTCGAGGACTTCAACTTTTGAATGTTAGGTGAAGAAGCATCATCCCCCTTGCTAACCCATCGTGAAACAGAGTCGGACACTTCTCGAAGGAAACTACGAAATTCTATCGTTAGATCGTTTCGATCATTTATCTACCAAAAGCATACCTTTGCGAGTTATGTATCGTAGTACCTCCCAGCACGATCCTGACGCCTGGATTTGCCGAGTTTAATTTGTTTATTTCTCTTCCCTCGGCGTATGTTGCGCCGCCAATGATGAACACGATGATATCTTGAGGCCTAAGAAAATGTAAATAAGGTGTACGATACATGCAGCCAAAAGAGGAATGAATCGCTTGAAGAAAGCCAAGAAAATAGGAAGCAGTAGTAAGCGAAACTAAACTTGTCCCTCGTGCTGCCATCAATAAAGGGGTAGTTATCGGTCTTAAGCTTGCCCTTGATCATCTCCTGAAGAGTATTCACCAGATGAGGAGTATGCTGGGTGTACACGTTTTCAACTCCCTTAAAAGCGAGAATGCATCAGCTACCGTCCGAAATAACCGCTACTCTGCAGAATGTGAAGAATATACACAAACGACGAAACACTAAATAGTACCTTTAGCCCCTTAAACACCTGCTTCGTTCTCGCAAGAATATCTTGGTTGGCAAATAAATCTTCCATCCGCTGATCCGCACCCGCATAATGCAGTATGGCATCAATAAGGCCAATCTTTCTTTCGGAGATGCCGGACTTTCTCAGTAAATCTACAATTTGCGGTGTCTGATTTGCCGTTGACTTTTCATATCGGAGGGCGTAGAGAATGGCGAGACGTAATCTCTGATCTTCAGGAATTTGCCCTTGTTGTAGAACTCGTTGTAGGTTCTTTAAATAAATAAAAATGGAATGAGTACTTCGAAATAATGTGAAATTATGATAAAAGCGCTCTTAGGAAACAAGGTAAGAGAAAAAAAAGAGTACCTTTAAGTCCGCATTATGATTCTCCGAAACTGCAAGACTCTGTTCAAGCTCCCCAACTTCCAGTAAGCACTCTCGATCCACCCTCCGACTCAGTTCTCCAACCAAAGTGACATGCTTCGTAACGTTCCCAGACAGCTTCCTAAATTCAGGATAGTCCTCCATGAATTTTTTCATATCCGAAATACTGTCTATCTTCATACTGCTCTTATGTTTAACCTGGTACTCGTCTACATACGACTTGATATTGGCACCAAGGTCTCCAAGGTTGAGATACATATTCTTCCGGTAAAAGGGGTCGGTGTCTGGGCTCAGCACGATTTCTCGGAGCTCTGGTCTCACGTCAGAGAGTGAGGATAGGTCAACACGATTGTTTACGATCCCGTGAGTTTCGTGAACCATGGCTTGGTATGTCCATTGATTCAGAAGCGGTGTAACGGGGTCATTGCGGCGGTCAAGTATCAGGAGAATGG